AGAACCAAACAAGGTTATGTTCAAACTATGATCTGGTGCTTAGTTTTATTACAGCTCATCGGTGTTCATTCATTTACCGCTTTACTTTATTACTATTCACTGGGCAATGGCTCACCCTTTTCCCCTATATGTATATAGGTGATGAAGAAGAACATGGTTCTAAAGAGAAGTCAGTTTAGAAGTCTTTTTCTTTTGTTTTTGTTCCTCGAGAGATGTACCCTTAAGAAGACAGCTTTGTACATGCGTTTTGGGTTTTGTAAGGTTATGTTGTGAATGATGTGCTTTCTTTTTGTTGTTTGGACTTATAAATATTAAGATAATAATATGAGAAGTATTGTTGTTATGTTTTCATACGATTTATGCACATGATTTGAATGGACTCTAGGTAATTAATGGACACATGTTTCCGTATAAACCCCAATGTTATTAGTCCAGTCTTGTCTTGTCTTGTCTTTTCTTGTCTTGTCTTGTCTTGCTAGGCCTTTGGTAGTTGAGTACTACTGGCCGGTCATAATGCTATCATGTTTGGGGTGAGATGGGGTCGTGTCAGTATTCTTCATCAAATGACTTGTCCCTACAATCCCCCACAGAATGGTATAGCACAGAGGAAACATAGGCATCTTGTCGAAACAACTATCACTTTTCTTCATCAATCTTCCCTACCTCTCAGCTAATGGCTTGATGCCTTGGCCACTGCTGTCTATCTCATAAATCGCACTCCTAGTTCTAAACTTGAGCTTCATACTCCCTTTGAAAAATTGTTCAATTACTCCCCTAATTTTCATTCTGTTAGTGTTTGGGTGTAGATCTTTACCTCAACTTTAGTCTTTCTTTTGTCCCTCTACCTCTCAGTCCCCTCTTTCTTCTAGTCTTGTATTCTCTTATCCTCTCAATTTTTTTAGCATTTACCAAAACCTACACCTACCACCACCTACTACCACACCTAACCCACTACACCACACTCACCCTCTTCTATATAATAGGAATCCTTGTAATATAAATACAATCAGATATCAATCAATAATACATCATTTTTTTTAACAGAAGACTTCGACTTCAAGTTTTGATCATAAAACTCATGCATTGCATGCATTATCATCATTTAGAAGGTTTTATCTTTGGTTAGTCTTTTGTCTTTGTTTTTATTGAGAACTTGAACATAAGTTTACTTTTGTAGTATATGCTAGCTTAGCTATTCAACTTGACTATTAGATCTCAGAGGCTTGGTTATTGGGCCTTATATTTCCAGATGGTTGAGTTTTGTATGTATAGCTTCTAAGAAGCACAGGCACAGACACACCGACAGGCCAATTTTCAAAAAATGCAGGACATGACACGTGGGAAAGACGCACAAAATATATAATCTTATATATGTCATATATATATATATATATATCATTCAAACATAATAAAAAAAAAATGTAATATAACAATTCATTTATACATTTACATTATTTTTTCATTCATTATTGTATCCTAAGTTATTTAGTTCAAACCTATAATTAGTTTTATGTGTCTAATCGGTGGACAATGTGTTCAAGAAAAGGACACTAGTGTCCGAAGAGTTTCCAGATCTAAAAAAATTTTTAAAAAATAGCACACGTTTGACGAGTTGGACACTTGTCGAGAGGTGTCCAACGAGCATAGTTGTTCGATATAGACATGACATGGATACACCATCTTCTTAGAAGTGTTTGTACTTCTTAGTATAGCTTAAAAAACTTGCGTGTTCAAATGCACAAAGCAACCACTCGAACGAGAATGTCAGTATCTTTCATAATGGTTCCAAAGTATCCATTGCTTGAACACCGTGAGCATTCATTCGAATGCAGACCTTTTTGTTTGTAAAAACGAAGCACATGTTTCCAACTAGGGCTGCGCAAAATACTGCCCCAATCTGCTTCACTCTGTGCAGTTTGGGATGGTTGGGCAGGTTGAATGATTTTTTAAGGCGGGTTGGTTTGAAGGCAATTTAAAATTTACAACCCACCTCTTTCATCTAACTAACCCACCATAATTTATATAATAAGAAATAAAAAAAGTTTATCACATAAAACTCGTCCTCTATAGATTGAATCTAAACAGAGGTGACGGTTCGGAACAGAACAGGGCCATCCGAACAAAGGGTTTTTTCCTTCAAGCAATCGCAATCCTTTGCCAGTTCAAAAGAGTTGTAACCTCTCCGAATAGCCTCTATGGTGCCTATAAAAAGGTTGTTCCTCGTCATTCCCTCTAGCATCCAATTTTTTCTATTTCTTCTCTGCATACTGAATGTCAGAGAGACAATACTGTGACGACCCCGACATACATATTATTTTTATATATTATTTTAGTGAGCATAATTGGATGATTATATGTTTTATTTGTACCTATCTATTTGCTTCTAAAATATCTGTTAGAATACCGACTTAGAATTCGAAATTGAAAGCCTAAACAAATTCAGAAACCAAAATTGATTAGTTCAATAGACTAATGGGAATATTTAGGATCATATGGAAAATTTAATTAAAATTTCATTCAGACCAAAATAATTAGAATAAATTAATTAGACTTGATTAGGATTAACTAAACCTAAGCTAAATTAATTAGCCTAATCCAATCCTTCCATATATATATATATGTGCCTCAAACATTTGAGCTCATTTTCCTTCAACAAAATTGTGGCTAAGAATATATATATATACATATATATATAGAGAGAGAGAGAGAGACCAACTTCTAGAGAGAGAGAGAGAGAGAGAGAGAGGAAGGATTGTAGAGAGATTGAAGAGGATTTGAAGAAATTAAGCTAGCAACATCTCAATTCAAGGTTTAGGTAAGATTATCACCCATAATTCTTGTAAATAATTAATGCAGAAGTTAAGTTCATGGAGGTTGTAAGATTATTTGCATGAAATTGAGAAAAGAAAGCTAGAATCAACTTGATCATGGAAGAAATGAGTTAATTGTGCACATGCATGCATAATTCTTCATCCTTGAGTTTGATTTTCTACAAATTCATACATGCATGGAATTTTTACACATTGACTTGAGGGATTCTTCATGTTTCTACACTTCTCATCTCATTTAATCATGGTTTGAAAGGAAAGAAGCGTAAAACATTACATGCATGGCAAGAACATTAAATTTTGAGCTTTGTTTTGGAGAATTGAAAGAGTATTTGAGGATATGTTTTCAAAATTTCCATGAATTCATGTTTTATAAAGAGTTTCTACACATTTCTACCATGTCATGCAAGCTTCGAACATGAAAGATACATTTTTGAACTTCAAAGAGCAATCTAGAAAACCCAGAATTTGCCCAATCCGCTCAAGCGACGGATCCATGGCTTGACCACACTTTGTATGCTCCCAGTATTTTTGCAAGCAATTGCACTTGGCTCGAGCGACCAAGTGATGGCTCGAGCCTACTTTGACACCATCTAGCACTTTTACAATTAGGCCACACCGCTCGAGCGACCAAAGGTCCACTCGAGCGAACACCCTGTTTTCAGCAAAATTTGGCAAACACTCACATGTGCATATTTGCATCCTCATGCCCTTTTAGGCATTCTTAAACATCATTTAGACATTCTTGGCCATGGAATAAGCTAGAAACACACGTAATAGAGTTGAATTAAGACACGCTATTTGTTATAAACGAGCGCTTCAATGTGTATCTTTGTTATGTGTTTTGTGTAGGTGGTTATCCGAGGTCCAACACTTGTGCCAGCCTACTATAAAGATATGTTGAAATGTATTTTTGAATTACTACAAGAATGTTATTTTGAAATGCTAGTTTGATAAGAATGAATTATTGTATCTTTTGAAAAGTAATCGTGGCATCCTTAGTGAAGCCCTCGCCTGGGAGAAATAATACCATGGCCCTTTGTTTGACAAGGCCCTTGCCTGGAAGAAACAATACCAAGCCCCTTTGTTAAATGAGCACAGAGATCTCTGATGTTGACCCGAGTGGTCCCTTTGCTTGACCTAGATGGTCCCTTTGTTTGGACCCATGTGGTCCCTTTTGGTGACCTTAATGGTCCCTTCGATATATGCCTTCAGGCCCTTTGCTTTACACTATTGAATGTACCACATATGAGTTCTGATTTATGAACTTTGATATGACAAATACTTAATTATGCTTTGTTTCGAAACTCATAAAATATGATTTGTATTATACTAGACATCATTCATTTAACCTCTTTATACTGATATTACTCACTGGGTTTTAGCTCACCCCCTTCCCTTATATATATGTAGGTGAGCAAATGGAGCATCAAGTTTAGAGAAGCCTCAGGAGTCCACCCTCTATAAAGCCACTTTTTGGGTGCCTCCGTGATGAGGCATACTTGGACTCGAGTGGAGCCAAGCCGTGTGAACCCTTAGTTTATGTTATTTTGTTTTTGTTCTTTAGGGATTTGTTTTGAATGAATATTATGCGTAAGAAGTTCAACCAGATGTGTTGTATCTACGAATGTAAATAAGAATGGATGTATGAGTTGTAAGTTTTAAATACTTGTGTAATTAGCATGTATGCACCACTCGATGGACATAGTTATGTTCTATTTATTGCTTTCGCAATGTCCCGTTTACTATTATTAATTTTTTGTCTTGCCTTTGAGGCCAGGTAATCTAGCATTACTGGCCGATCATGGCCTAAACCTCTAGGGGTGAGTTTAGGTCGTGACACATAACATAGTTTCTGGTCACTGGGCAAACTGATTGAATTGCTGCTTCAGTTTGCGTAAAGATCATTTCATCTTGGGAGATAGATGTCCGTTGATTTGTAAGCACCAGTGCAAGGGACAAATCTGTCTCAAGAAGAAATTGTCCAACACTTGACTTGATCTAGTCCTATTCTGTTTCTAAAATTTGTTTCTGCAATTCCGTAAGTTTGTTTTTTCTGCAATTGCTTGCTGTTGTGATTTCTGGTTCATAATTTAATCACATAATTACACAACATACACAGAAAATTATTCCAACAAAAACTACATGAAGATTTCAAAGCATAGAAGTTACCTACGAACATCAGATGGATCCTCATATGCCGACATACTGAAGCTACAATATTCAACCCAAATACCGACACAGTATGTTGCAGATTGCACAGCTCGTTCAAAGATTTCACCAACCTTGTCAACCGTGCATAAGTGTGCCTTATGAGCAGCATACTTCCTCCAGTATCCATGGCACAATGGATATTCCGACAAAAAGGAGTCATACACTGAACAGATCTTTTCTATATTATCCTACGAGGATTGCAAAGAAGAGTTGTTTTATGTCAGCATCCTAACAGCAATAAAAGATTTACTTCATAGTAAATTTAAGCAAATGCACTACACAAAAGAATTTTTTCCAGAGTCTACATACTGGCCAAAACACTTCTGTTATCAGATGCTCTATGCACAAGACAGGACTGTAAAGAACTTACTATCATAACCATCATTACTGTCATATAATCATCATTCCAGTGTTTGAGAATGAAGAGGGTAGTACTTTTTAAATCCTTAATAATGATTATTCATTTGAACCCCATACTATGCAATGTCTGTACCAACATTGTCAACTCATTTTTAAATATTAAATCAAGATTCCTAAAAACTCCATTGGCAACTATGGAGGAAGAAGCTTTGTTAGCTAATCAAAGTTTGCTGCCTATCCAACCTCATATGTGCGACTCTATATATCATTGATCGGAGGGGTCAGGCATTAGACTTCGTTGATTAATCAATCCCTGCCTCATATCCAACTTCATTGTAAACTCACCCCAACCCAAAATGTTTTCATCATCCTACTTCTAGAAAGATAACATCCTAACATTTGCTAACAGTTAATCTTAGCCTTAATAAAATCTATGCCCATTGAACATTCATTATAATATTAATAAAACAAAGTATTCAAAATATATTACTGCTGTAATACCACAGAGCACTTTGACACCTATAAGAATAGTCAGGTGTTATTATGTTATTATTTTATTAGTTAAGGGTACTATGGTCATATTGTAATGTCTTCGTATAAATATATGCTGCTGGTGTAAGGTTGATTTAGCACCCTAAACCAATTAGTCAAAACATCTTCTCTTCTCTCTCTCTCTCTCTCTCTCTCTCTCTCTCTAACCCTAACCCTAATTTTCACCTATTTTGCATTCTAACTTGGTACCGGAGCATCGTTCCTACATTCTCAAGTGCTCATCGGAATCTAGAGATCATTGTGAGATGACAGCAACATGCTGACATCAGTGTGATGTCATCATCCGTACGGACAAGTTGGGCTCTCAAGGATCAATTCTTCCTCCTGAAGTCATTGGTATTTTGTGGAATTTTTTGGAACCATTTGCTGTGAGTTTTGTATTTTCAAATTTTTTGGTTGAAAAATCTCCAATGGTGTTTTTGCTCTCCTCCTGCGCATTCTACCAGGTAAGCTCATCTCTAGGATGCCTTGAGGTTTGTTTTGAGATTTGGATTTGGTCTTTTTGTTTGGATTTTTGGTGCATTTTTTGGTTGAAAAATCTCCAATGGTGTTTTTGCTCTCCTCCTGCGCATTCTACCAGGTAAGCTCATCTCTAGGAGGCCTTGAGGTTTGTTTTGAGATTTGGATTTGGTCTTTTTGTTTGGATTTTTGGTGCGTTTTCGTCCCAGACTGTTGTTTCTGGTGTTTTCTAGTGTTCTTTTGCTACTGTGTTATTGAGTTCTCCTTTGTTGCTTTGTGTGTTTGCCATGGCTGAAACCTAAGAAGCATGGACACGGACACGTGACACGACATGAATACGACACGGACACGCCGACACGTTGATTTTAAAAAAATGCAGGACACGACACGTGGAGGTTTGCCATGGCTGAAACAAAACCTCATGTGGTTAAGGATGATGTGTTGCCCAAGTCTATTACTACCATGAAACTGAATGGTTTGAATTATTTGGCTTGAGCTCATGTAACAAAAAAAAATTTGCGTAGTAAGATAAAATTCGGCTTTCTTATTGAACTTCCTCCTGCTACTAATAATAAAGCCTATGATCACTGGTGTAGTGAGGATTCTTGTCTTATGGGATGGATCTGGCATAGCATGGAACCCAATGTTGCTATTATTGTGGAATTTTGTGACACCTCCAAGCAAATTTGAGACTCCCTTGCAGAGTCATTTTTTAGTCAGAGTAATGTCTCCTGGGTCTATGAGTTGTATGAGCAAATTTCTGCTGCTCAACAATTTGGTCGTTCTCTACCATATTATAATGACCTTAAGAACTAGTGGGATTAATTATTGCAGCACAGATCTTTTACTACTGATGTGGCACAACAAAAGCGCCATTGGAAGGAGTTTATGATGGCCTCTTTACTCGTTGATGGAGGCAAATCAAGAAATGGATTTCATTATAGAGAAAATCCCAAAATAGGTACAAGAGCTCTCAAGCTCTGAAATATTCCATATCAAAATATCATAAAACTGAATACTAGAGGGACCTAACCACCTATTTATAGGATAAAAGGCCCAACTAACCCTAACTAACTCTTATAGTACTAAAACATAACTACCATACTAATTCTAATTACATCACTCATGGGCTTAGATTCTGACTTAAGGGGTTTCAAAGATCAAATCCTTGCTAGTGAAACATTACCTTCCGTTGCTAATGCCTATTCACGGTTGAGTTCTTCTTTGGGACAAGGTCAACCCTCATCTGGTTCTACCTCTCAGACCTTGTCCTCTTCTGCATTGATCTCTAGCAGTGGCGACCGTGGGCCTACCTGTGGGAGTTTTCATGGCCAATCTAGTTATCGTGGCTCATATACTAGTTTCCATTGTTCACATGGTGGTCGTTCTTCTCATGGTTCTCGTGGTGGTAGTGGGTGTCAAAATGGTTCTGCGTCCCGTGGTGATTAGAGTGTACTCATTGTGGTTCCTTAGGCCATTCTGAGCCTTGGTGTTGGCAGAAGTATGGTAAACCTGATCATATGAATCAAGTTATAGATGTTCCATCATCTTAGTCTACATCTTTTCCCTCTGGCACAGTTGCTTCCTCAGCTAATTCTCATGATGCACTCACCACTCAGATTAGTGAGCTTATTGAGCTAGCCCAGTCTCTTCGTACTGCCCTCCATCCATCCTTTACTACATTGGCTAGTTCAGGTAATATTGCATGTATGGCTCAATTGTAACACCCAAAATAATGCCACGTATCACAATCATATTATTATCTACCCTTGAATGTCTTTAAGTCAAATTAGCAATATCATTATATAGAATACTTAAAATAAAGCATAGAAACGAGTAGTGAGAAAGCCTTGAAGAAGAGTGCCTAAGAAAAAGGAACTTAAGGACACTTATGATTGATGAAAAACTTAAGACAGCTTAGAAATAGAACCTTAGTGTGAAAGTTGATAAATGACATGGAGTTAGGGAATTGATTTTGAAATGAATATTGACTACTTAAATGGTTCAGGAAACCCTAAGTGAGGAGCTTAATCATCTTAGTCTAACAAGTAGAGTTTAATGAATACTTGATTAAAAATTAAGAGAGATTAGCAAAAGTTAAGTAAGATTAATTAAGGCCTAAGTGAGAATAATTAGGCTAATTAAGATTAGGAACTAAGCATGATTAATTAGGACTAAGTATGGTTAATTAGAACTAAAGTTGGTTAATTAAGCTAATGGGACAATTAGCGAAATACTTAAGCTAATCAATTCTCATCAACAAAAGAGAAGAATAGAAAAGAAATGAGAAGTTGTAGGATCATTCTTGTGTTCTTGAGAGAGAGAGAGAGAGAGAGAGAGAGAGAGGATCTAGAGAAGAGAAAATAAGGAGAAAGGAAGAGAAATCATGGAGCTTCAAGATTTAAGCTTGGAAAATCAAGGAAAAACCATTTCTAGGTAAGAAATCCTACCCTCTATCTTTTGTTATTGTTATAAGCTAGCTAGAAAATCACTTAGAATAGATTTTGAAGGATTAAAGTTGGAGTTTTGTAGTGAGTTAAGGAAAAAGAAAATAGTCTTGAAGATTTGCAAAGAAAAATCATGTTTTGATTTGATTAAGTTTAGGATTCATTGCATATAAATGTTTATCTATGAAATACACATCATCAATTCATGTGTTGAAGTCTTAAACATCATGCTTTGAAGGATTGAAATGAAGGAAATGAAGAAAGGTTTGAAAAGAAACTAAGTTGAGAAGGTCTTGAATTAAAACATGTTTTTGGTTGGATGAATCTTGAATTCATGCATTCAAATGAGTTTTCATGGATCATACATCATCTATTTATGTTTTGGTACATCAAACGTCAAGTTTTGAGGCTTTAGAATGAAGAAAAATGAGTTAGAACACCAAGAACACGCACCAACCCAGCATTTTGCTCGTTCGGCGCTCAAGCAGCCACCATTGGGCGCACGAGCGAGCAGAAACCAATCTGCCTCTCCCTGAGCCACCGCTCGAGCGGCCTAGGACACCACTCAAGCAGCCAAGCCACCGCAAGTGCGGCCAAGGCTGGCGCACCTGCGGCACCCCTATTTCAGCCCAACTTCAAATGGACATATCCCTCTCATCCAAACTCGGTTTTAAGCGATTCTTGAGTCTAAATTCAAGCCCCAAAAGTCTAGTTTCTAATGGTGGTGGTCTCACATCAAATTCGATGTATACAAAGAGATATGTTTAAAATAGTGAAGGCTACTCACTTTCTTTTTAACCATTGCATTCTAACTCCTTTCCTAACTTAGTTTTCTTTCATTTCTTCGTATTTCCTTTTACTTGAAACATCTAAGCATAATATTTTCTAATACAAAACATATGACATTGTTGTGGAATACTTGAAGCCCTTCAACGTACGTCTTTGGCACACTTCAATATTCATCAAGCCTTAATCACCTAGGATGCTTCTAGGCATGCATTTGACACTTGTTTGACACTTGATTTAGACTTGGAATAAGCTTAGAAAGACCTTGAACAATCTAAGAAATTGATTAAGAAATATTAAGGTAAGTTTAGACACTAGAATTGAAGTAGGAGTTTGTAAATTGAATTGTGTTCAATGTCTTGTTTATGTTCTATGCAGGTCAATCATTTGGAGGAAGAAAACACCCTTGGTTCAAGAGCCATTTGTGAGTTATAGTAAAGTTATGTTTGTTAAACCATGATTTGAAATGCAAAACCTATGCCATGTTTATGAAAGTTATATTAATGTTTTGCCATGAATGCGCGTTCTATACTCTTGTATCATGTACTGAGATGACACCTTGGATCTTGTTTTGTTATTAGGAA